GTGTTCACTCTAGAATGAAAGAGGCATAATTTATATTTATTTCATAATTTTTTATGGTGGTTACCAGATCAGTCATATCTACCAAACCCATACAAAGATTTGTTACTGAAAATAACAGATAAAATATAAAGTATTTTCTTAAGAAACATTTGATAACTATCTAGATATTATAAAGATTTCACATGTGAAATTGGAAATTTATCTAATGTATACAAGTATTTTTAATCTTAAAATGAAAATTACTTTGCATGTTGGATAGGCAAAATGCAAAAAGAAAAAAGGCATGATAAAAACGTTGCTTTACAAACCCTAAGGCTTAATAAAAATTTGATATTTTTCGTATGAAAGCATTGTAATGTTTACTGATAGCCTACCAAATTTCATTAACGTACACTTACTAATTTATAAGTTATACTATGAAAACTATAAAAAGCACAAAATGGTTATGAGGTCGGTCCGAGGGACCAAGCCCATGCTGAAAGAGTTAAAAAGTTTCCTATATACATAAGAAAAATTTCTAAACTTACAGACATAGGAGAACATAATTTCAAAATGTCTAGCAAATATTTAGATCTTTAAAATGTTTCCTATATACTTAACCCATTAACTGCGGATGACGGATATTTCCGTCATCGAAGTTCTATGGCTCAGATGCGAATGGCGTAAATATCCATCAGTCGCAAATATATAACTATTACTCTATGCAAATGACGATAATTGCCGTTTTATTGTGATTGATGGCAACTCAGTTTTATCTGTGAATCAGAAAACAGCAACTGAGCTGCTCTTGCAGCAGTCAATGGGTTAAGAAAAACTTGTAAAGTTACAGACTTATGAGAATTTAATATAATCTTAAAATTTCTATTAATTTCTACACAAATTTAGATATTTTTGAATTGAGTATATGAAGTTTGTTTCTTTGTAATAAAAGTTTAAATATCTTGAGTGCAGTTACTTTAGAGTAAGTAGGCTAGTTATTTTTTTAATTGAATTTTGAAGTTCATTCCATCATTACAAAAATTGAAATTTGCAAGGTAATTAATTTATAATTATTAGTTAGTTTACAGTATGTATTTTTAAAATTAAGCCTTAAAAAGTTAACTTGTTCAGAAAAAATATTTATTTTCGAGCAGTGAAATATATTGTTCTTGGCTTTCTCAGGCTCTTACAGATGTTAACAGATGAATCCTCGAGCAATGAGCTGTTAGTGGAAACTGCTGTAACACTAGGTAGTCTAGCTAAAGGAACAGATGATCATGTGAAGTCCTTAATAGATGCTGGCATCCTTCCTGTTATGTTGCAGGGTATTTCAATCTTTTAACATAATTGAAAATGTGTAGTATGTCATTGGTATGAATCACAAGACTTGTGTATGTAGGGTTTCATATTAGATGTACTTGAGCATGGTTTCCAAAAGTGTTCTGTTTCAACAGTAAGACCAAAACTAAGAGTAACAAACATTTTTTTCCTTACTTTTGAAGTTCATATGTCATGCTGTGTTGTAGCTTACATATTTACATATACAAATTGCAACATTAAGCATCTATTATATGATGTCATTTTAGTGTTGACTGACTGACAGACAACACACTAGTGTATTGTGGTGTGCGTAGTTAAAACAGATGACCCCTTCAGGCAGCCTTTGGCCCCCTTTCAGGGAAATAATCTGAAAGTAGGTCTGAAAGATGGACCTTCCAAATTATAAAAATTTTCAAATCAAACATAATTCCTATATATTTTAGTTAGTTATTTGCAACTTGGCTAATTTGGTACAGAACCAAACCTCGTGTTCTGTTAGTCGCACCAAAACAAAAAGTTTGTTTCAAAACTTCCATGAACTTTATATCACATTTTACAGATTTATTAGCTTGAACAGTGTTGAAAGTTATGTGCTAATTCTCAAAAGCAGCATCTTATTTTTCAACAAAGATCAGCCTGAAATCTGTATGTACTTTCAGTTTAATTGTTTAGTTTCTTTTGAAACATTCTATGTGACACTGATGAAAGATTCATGGAGTAATCTTTTCTAGTTAAAAGTATTTTTGAAAACTTGTTCATTATATCAGATAAATTGTTTAATTTCTTTTTTATCTCTCTATAACATAAATAAGCAAATGTTGAAAAATAACTTGTTTTACCCAAAATAGTTGGCTTAATGCAGCCCACTGCTTTAGCCTATTGGACTTGGATCTGAGGTTTTGTGGTTCTCAACCTGTTACCATTGAAAAAATAAAATAATAAAAAGTGGGTTGTGAGTGCATTATAAGAGTGACAGTCAAATCTTACTAATCAATTAGAGTAGCCCACGAGTTGATGGTGGACGGTGTTGACTAGCTGCCTTTCCTTTAGTCTGTCATTTCAAAATTAGAGATGGCTAGCACAGGTACACCTCAAATAGCTTTGTGTGAAAATCAACAAACACAAACCAAAATAGTTTCAGAAACCAATTTCTTTTTCCAGTTAAATTATATAATTTCATAAACATAATATAATATTAAAGAAATACTCAAATCACAGTCTCTTATAACCAAAGTTTAAATCTAATTTCTTTAGATAGATGAAACTGTTATTTTCAGACTTTCTGCATAGTATTGAAGAAATGTTCTGAGACAATCTTTTTTCTGTAGGAAAAGATTCTTCAAAAATTACATTTTTTTCTCTTAATACTTGAATTATTATTTTTTATACAGTCCATAAAATATTGAAAGAAAAAATTAAAAATATAATATTTTGTAACCAAAAGTAATCTGAAAACCTATTTTCTTCAAACACCTATATGATTTTGTTTTATTTTGAATATTCTATGTAATATTAAAGAAAGATTCAGTTGATATAACTTCAGTTTATTTTTTTTTACCAGCACTAGGTCATTGTGACAGTAAGTATGTGGAGGCTTGCCTTCGGTGTCTGCGAACAGTTTTCATGTGTTCTGTTGCTCCAACAGACATTTTGTACAGTGATCAATTTATCATACCTCATCTTATTAACATGGCATCTCAACCAAACTATTCAGTTCAGGAATGTGTATCCACTATACTTACGAATGCTTGTAAGGTGTGTAAATTTCTTATAAATTCACTTATATATATTCCTTTAAACAGCATAAAAGTATAATCAAGACCAGTAAAACTAGAGAAGTTAATGTAATTTAGAAAAACCGGGACTCAAGTAATGCATTACAAATATAAAAAATTAAAATGTTCAGAACTTTTAATATGATAGTGTATACTTTTCATAAATACTGTTTCATATAGTTCTATTCCACTACAATAAACTTGTACATAAAGCTCAAAATTTGCATATAGTGATGAAGAGTTTACTTATTTCTCTGTTTAAATTGGCTGCTTTTGTTTTTATATCTTACAGCAAAGAAGTTTATACAATCACCTAATTCCTAAGTATTAATTACTCACTTTATTATTATTATTAGATACTAAGTACTAACTAGTTTTTATCCTGTGTTTTGGCTACTAACCTGCTGCCATCTTTAGGGAAATCCTTAGAAGGACTCTCTGTCTCTCTCTCTCTTCTTCTTCTTTTTTCTCTCTCTCTGTCTAGAATTCATGAACCATTTAAATAGACAATATATCATGATACAGTTCTCAATAGCAGTAGAAGAATATAACTAACTCCAATTCCTAGATGTGATGGTTATTAAGACACATAACTCATATACCACAGGACTTACAGAAGATCCACATATATGGATAAATAGAGACTAGTGTGCTATTCATTCTTCTAGAATCTTCTCCATTAGGAGTTGAATCAACAGACTTATTGAATACTTTCAATAGGTGGTATCGAAGTTTTGATTACTTCTATGCTAGGTTGACTGAGTGTGCTATTAGTTTATAAGTGGATGTCTAAGGCTTCTTTTATCTTTCTTTTCTTCATGTGTGGTCCATATCCCATTATTGTAGTATTATTCCAGTATAAATATGGTATTCTTAACTAGCATGATTTTGCAGGCAGTATTGTATGTTTTTGTATTTTTCTGAATCCTAACTTTTGTTGATCTCATTGTTCACTAATGTACAAGGGATGGCGTAAATTATGTAAAAGGTGTTTTTGATTTCTAATGGAGCCTTTTGGTGGTTTGAGGTGTATCGCGTTGTGGCTTCTAAATATTGTTATGAATTTATGTAGTTTACATATCCTCTTATGTTTTCAGAGAAAGCTTAGAGAAAGGGAAATATGATGTGTGTCTGTAATTTTCTTTCTGCTTATTCTTGGTGTTTACCTCCTTTATCAAGTGTTACAGGTATTCATTTTCATAAAGGGTTTTAGTGATGTATTTTTATCCTTCTTCTTAGCATCATTTGTATTACAAATCCTGTTCATTCTGGACACTGGGCAGTCTAAGATGCACATCTTTACACTGTTGGGATGACATGGTTCATAGTCAAGGCCATCAGAAAGGCCCAGGGTCAAATCCTGGCCTATACTAACACAGAGATAGTACTTCTTTTCAGGACTTCTCTGAAAATGGCAGCAGATTAACAACCAAAACATAGGAAAAAAATTAGTTATTGATATAGTTTGTAGTGACAATAAAAAATAAAAGTCACTAATTTATAATTAGATGATTGTATAGGTTACTAACCATGACAACAACTGAATGATTACGTTTTTGTTGTATAATATATAATGTATAGGAAACTTCTGTTTGTTGCAGACTGTTGAGCATCAGAACCTCCAGTGCAATCATGGAGCTGTGGAGATGCTAGCTGGACTTTTGTGTTCTCCAGCATACAGGGTATAAAGCACATGTTATTTTAGGTATTATGATATTCTGTAGACAACAATTTCTGATAAGAATACTTGAGAATCAGTTGGTAGCAATGTAGTTGTTGTCCTCTGAACTTTTAAAGTAAGAGAGAGGGAAGACTATTATACGTAACTAGGTTATTGCCTTGAACATGAACTGATCCAGAACTTTTGCTTCAGTTGATCTACAGTTAATAATAAGAATCTCCAAACACATAGGACGGAATTTTCAGCGGTTATGATTGATTAGAATTGTTACGATATACTGTTCTAGTTATACTGTACTTAATAACTGCAGTACTTATAAAAAGAACAAATTGGTTTTTTTCTTTGTTATTTTAAGTGAAAAATCCTATATGATTAGTTTTGCATGCTCTTAGAATTTAAGTAATAAATGATAGAAAGATTATGAATGTCAGTTTCTTTAGTGTTACGGAATGATGCCACTGTTTGAAGCTTTGGCAGGGAAGAATACTGAATGTAAAAAAACAAGAAACAGTGATTAAATACTCATCATACTAACAAAACAAATTTTATAGACAAAGATTGTTTTGTTGGTAATACCCAGAATACTGTAAGTTAGAAGGTTTATGGGAATATCATTACCTGACAATAATTGTGGATGACACTGATGCAAATGAATTGGGCAAAGTCAATTCAAAGTAGTAAATTTAATTCGAAAATTTAGTATGCTGCATAAATAATGCAATTGTTAAGTATATGATGCAGAATCTTAAAATTCAACAGGCTGCAGTAGGACTTTACAAGTCTCATCTTGCATAATGAACATGAATATCATGGATGAGGTTATCATCATCTCATGTTTGAAATGTAAGACTGTTGGTCTAGGGCAATACTGAGATTCTCATAAATCACACGCCACATGTACTTGGTGTGCACTCAAGCAACATGAACAGTGATAAATTTGGTTATCATGAAACTATTTCAGTTTCTTAGAATCTACAAAGCACATGCATAGCTGTTTCCACCATCATTCTATTTGGAATCAGTTTCAACAAGTAATCTAAATGCTGACAATTACTTTTACCACTGTTAAATGAAGTTCAAATTTAACATTACACATCAATATTTGTTACACCATGACATCATCCAATCACTGTAAAATCAAACTGCCATCAATTATAACATTCACAAGCTATGAATGTAATTTTTTTTACATGTATGCTAAACCCAGGTAAATGTACATTGAAATAGCATGACTGAGTATGTGTAAAAGAAGATCAGAGAATTTAAGCAACAAAACACACCAAATATTTTGCCAGAAAAGATAGCAATGGAAAGATTAGGAGAAGCTATCATGAATGTATGACAATAATTTCTTTTAGCATTATTTCTTTGCAAAAAACTCCTATAAAGAAATAAGATTCACTAATGTAATTACAGGTAAGTAATGTATATGTTAAGTAGCAGTAGGCTTAGCTATTGGCTTAGTTTAAGTACGTTACTTTCAGGCATTTTAAGTGTATTCTAGCTTTTGCTGTTGTTAGGACATAATTCAGTAATGTTAAGTTTCATAGAATTTACAGGAAACTTTTTATAATTTTAATAAAGCTGAAATGTCAGTTTGTAGTTGTTGTAGTGCAAACTGAAGTATTTTTGACATGCTTGAGTAATTTGATGAACTTTAACTTCAGATGAAATAAACTTATTTTCCAACATTTCTGTTGTATATCTCTATCAAAGGGTTGCAGTAAAGAAACACACCATAGCCTGTTGATAAAGTGTTACAACTGAAACACTGGGAAATAGAGGCTTATTTCATGTGAAGGTTATTTCAAAAAATTCTCAAGGCAAGGAGTTTAACTCTCTCTGCACATGTCAGAAGGTTTTTAGACTTACATTCAAAATTTAATTAAACTACTTTTTTTATGTTATACCAATTAGTATAGCATAAAATCCTAGATAATAATCCATATTTTAATAGTATTTAAGTTTTAAGGCAATACTTAAAATATTCTGAATTTCCCCTAGTGTCAGAAATGTGACATTTTTTTTCTAGACTTCCCCTCTTTTTTAATTTATTCAACACACCTCTAATAAGTAGAAAATTTAACGTAAATTACTCACCATCAAATTGTCATCACTCAGACAAAGCATAATATTTATAGCCTTCATTCAATCTTGTTTGGTTATAGAGCCACCAAATAGAAAATCAGACCCTCTCTTGCCACATCCACCTGTCACAT